CGCTTGGCCCGGACGGCCCCTCCCCCCGGCTGCGTCAGCGGCGATGTCCCCCCCCCCCCCCGCCACCTCCCCAGCGGCTATAAAGCGGCTCCGGGACGGCGAGGCAGCGCTCAGAGCCCCGCGGCCCCTGCGCAGCCCGGACCCGCCTGCCGCCGCCTCTGCCGACCCTGCCCGCTCCTGGCCGGCCACTGAGTGAGTCTTCCCAGAGCGCCCCTCGCCCGCTACCCCGTGCCGCGGTCCTCAACTTCCAGGGCTCTTCTTTGTGAGCCGGGTCGGCGGGACCTCCCCAGGGTCGCCTCTGCCCCGGCTCTCGGGGTTCACGACAGACGCGGTCCGGGGCCGAGGACCCCAAGAGAATAGTTGCATGCCCCGGGGACCTCGGGTTTGGGGACAACTGCGACCCCAGGGAGGAGGGTCAACTGCCCGGGGCTCCCCCAAGAAGTGCAGGGAGTTGGGGTCCCCGACGGCGCCCCGAGCAGTCCTCCGGAGACCCCCGCACCCTGCTCACGGCGCGTCCTTTCTCCCGCAGCCCATGGCGTGGTTCCCGAGCCTCTGCACTTGGCTCCTGGCGCTGGGCCCCGGGCTCCTGGCCGCCGTGCAGGCGGGATGCGGCCAGGACTGCGCTGCGTGCAGCTCCCGGCTGGCGCACCCCGGCGAGCTCAACTTCCTGGTGAGTGTTCGCGAGGCGAGCAGGGGACACCCTGGCTGGGTAGCCCAGGTGACCTGGTGTTTTCCAAAACGCTGAGCCCGTTCTGCCCCTGGCTCTGAGCTTTTAGGACCCGCGACTCTCCGGACGCGGTAAGGGTGGATTCATCCCCACACAACCCAAGAGCCGAAACAGGCTCTTTCAGCACCTCGGATAGCGCCGGGTCTCCCAGGATGCTTGGAAGAAGCTGCCTGTCCCAGCTCCTAACCGCCCCCTAAGTCCCTTGGCACCACCGACCTTCCCACAGATAACGTACTTTTTTTGTTGATGACGTTTCCTCTCCTTTTCTCCAATTCTTTTCTTGAGCTCTCTTAACGTCGGGTTTCTCACCTGTGGATAAGAGCAATAAAAGATATAAAGATGAAAGGGACGTCACAGTAGCACGAAAGAGTTTAATAACTATCCAAGAGCAAGTGAAGATGGAACTCAACTTGTCATGATGGCAGCTGTAATGCTGACAAAAACAAGCTACTGTGGCTATGGCAGAGGGACAAGAGGCCTGGCCTTAGAAGAGGCTGGAGGGAGGGCCTGGCAACAACAGGAGTCACTCTCCTTGGGCTTTGGGGCTCCGGAATCACCCCTGTTGTTCTAGTGCCTTAGACTCTGGATTTGTGGTTCAAGATGCGTCATTTTCAACTAGCTCCCCCAATGACTGCCTTGGAAATTTGTTGATATTCTGTGACACTTTAAAACCCCCAACAGAATGTAATGAATTAGTCAAGCTGCTTTATGTCCCCCTTGAGGCTTTGAAGAAATTTAATGCTCAATAGATGCTTGAAATGGAGAAGAAAACAAAGGAAGGGATTCCAAAAGCCCGAGGTGTAGATTTCATATTAAACATATTATCTTGTTTGAATATTTGAATGGCTTCTCTGTTTCATCTGGTAGGTACTGATTTAGCCTCATAGAAAAGAAACATCTTTTATATTCAAACTATGAGCAAATGTTCCATCTTACAGGGTACAGTCTCTGCATCCATTTTTCTTCTTTCTCCTCTAGTCATAAGCTTCTAAGCTATGCCTAAAATTTGACCGAATGCTAGGAGCATTATGGATAGATATCTTTAGTAAAGAACTGCATACACCAGAGGAGAGAAGGGGAATCAAGGCACGCTGTACTGAAGGCCTCACTTCCTGACCCCACACCTCCCTCCCCTGCTTGCATGTATTCTGAGCTGAAGCTGGGCTTAACGTGCGTCCAGCTCAGCTCGCAGCTTTGGGCTCTTGTCACCTATGTAAAGGCTATGTGAACTCTAAAAGAAGCTGTAGAATTACGTAACCTGACCTCAAAGTATAGCAACTTTACTGACATTATACTATTCTGGAAGTCCATATAACCAGCAAGTTTTGGGCATTCAGTCTACTCACTTCGCCGAGCTCCAAAATTGCTACTAATCTTTGTTTTCCATCATTAAGGAACGTGACGCATCTTCCCTGGCTGGCACTAACCATTCTGACTTCTCTCCTTTCTCTTAGCCTCCACTCGGCCTTTCATGGGGTTTGGGAGAGGAGAAAGACTGACCCCTTTCACTTCACTTTTCCTCATTGCCTGTTGTCACTTATTGTTACTTGTGTCATTGCAGATGATGGTGTGGCATGTGTAGTATTTGAGACAAAAGACAATAAGCCACCACTAATTTAAAAAAAAAAATGTCTTAGGAAGGCACATTGAATAGTAAATAACTACCTTGCTTTATGTTGGAGCTTACATTTAGGGTTGCTACCATCTCCATGACAAAAGATTTAGTTAATGCCTGTGTTTCTAGAGTTACTGCAGTTCTGGAATGTTAGCGTGGGCCCAACAGATGTAGGAAAAATGAAGCTGACTGGCCAAAGCTGACGTGAAATCAATGTTACAAACATTTATCAAGCATCTGCCCCTAATAAGGCCCTGGCTGTGCTCCTGTGGTGGGTGTAAAGATGTGCAGGCATGTCTGGACTGATGTCCAGATGGAATGACTTCTGTCTCCACCGTAAAATGAGACTGCCACAAACATGCCACCGAAGACACGCAGATGGCTGTAGGCTCTACAGACGAACGTCACTGCTTTAGCATGAATATGCTGTCCTGCTTATTTGTGCTTAAATCGATGTACATCTTCAGAATCTTTTGGTTTAAGTACACAAAATACTTGGCATTAATTTTGACAACATGATCATGTAAATATCATTTTAGAATAAAAATATTACTGCCACTTGAATATCTTAAGACTTTAGTGATATCTGGTACCTCAATTAGATATTATCAGGAATAAAACAGGATCATATTAATTATATCATCTTTAGATATGTTCTTAGGCTCACATACTTAATTTTCTTAGCCATAATGCTTAAATCACCATTATGAGCTAATTAACTACACACTCTGATTTTGCTGCATGAATAAAAGGATTTCTTTCATTGTAAAAAATAATGTATCTAATATTAATTAATATAACAGCACATTTTAATAACAAGAAAATATGTGGCTTTTCTATCTAAATTGAGAGTCTAAATTGAGTTCTATACCTAAATTTCAAAAAGATACAATATATTAGGAAATAGTATATAGCTTCTTTACATGTTCATGTAACATTAGTACTCTTTTAATTATATACAAGTGATCTGTTAAGCAGAGAAAACCTAAACAAGATCATTAGAATATGTAGCCTAAATTTTTCAATGACTTGAATTTACTTATTGTAGAATAAGAAAGGAAATAGTTATGTTGATTACTTCTATTATATTAAATAGCATAGTTTGCATTACTAATTTTTTTCTATATACGAAGGACTAAATGTTAAAAAAAAACACAAATACTTCATACATTTTCATATATACAACTTGCTATCTGATCTCATCGTTAACAGCATTTGGTTCAAGATGATAAAATCTGTCTTAACCAAGAAAAATAGGAAAACAATACATCTTTTCTTTTAGTAAATTCTATATAACTCATCAGATTTAAATTTAATTTTTTTAATGTCTTTCTTTCAACCCTATTTGAAATTTTGCTTTTCTTTGAGGATTGAAAGTGTTTGCAAGAATATTGAATAGCATTGTGGTAAAATGCTAACAGAGAAAGCAAATAAACCTTGTTTGTATTGATTTTCTCTGTAAGACCCAAAGATAACAGGCATTAGGGGGAAAATGTCTCAAATTAGATAAACAAAAATTTCTCCCTTTTGGTTAGAAAACTCTCAAGCAAAAATGACACCAGCAGAAGAAAGCCTGGTGGAATTAGATTGTAAAGGCAGCCAGCCTCGGCTCGAGTGGGGGCGGAAGCTCTCCTCAGTCTAGCAATATCGCATGGTGTGTATCATACGTTCAAAACAAAAGACAGGTTTCTGATTTGGTTCAGTAAATCCTTAATCTTCCACGCACACATTTCCTTGCTTTTTCTTTCCTTTGCAGTTTTCATTTATTTCATTTGCCTGTTCACTGTGATAAACCGCTGAGATGAGAAAACGCAGATGACTCTCTCCTCCGGAGACTGTCGTCTCTGCGGCGAGCGTTTCAGAGTCGGTCGCTCACGCACCACGAATTGTTTCCCCAGGCCTGCACGCTGGAGTGTGAAGGACAGCTGCCTTCTCTCAGAATCTGGGAAACCTGCAAGGATCTCCTGCAGGAGCTTCCTCGCGAAGGCGCCAGCCAGCTCCGAGACAGCAGCCCCCCGGAGGAGAGCCATTTGCTCAGCAAGAAGTACGGCGGCTTCATGAAGAGGTACGGCGGCTTCATGAAGAAGACGGGCGAGCTGCACCCCGTGGAACCCGAGGAAGAGCCCAGCGGCGGGGAGCTCCTCGCCAAGAGGTACGGGGGCTTCATGAAGAAGGACGCGGAGGACGGGGACGCCCTGGCCAATTCCTCAGACCTGCTGAGGGAGCTGCTGGGAACGGGCGACAGCCGCGATGCGGAGAGCCCGCGGCAGGAGGGCGGAGGCAGCGAGGAGGACGTGGGCAAGAGGTACGGGGGCTTCCTGCGCGGCCTGCGGAGGAGCCCCCACCTGGAGGACGAGGCGAAGGCGCTTCAGAAGCGCTACGGGGGCTTCATGAGGAGGGTGGGCCGCCCGGAGTGGTGGATGGACTACCAGAAAAGGTACGGAGGCTTCCTGAAGCGCTTCGCCGAGTCTCTGCCCTCCGACGAAGAAGGGGAAAGTTACTCCGAGGGAGTTCCTGAGATGGAAAAGAGATATGGGGGATTTATGCGATTTTAGCACCCTTTGCTGTGGGGGACCCCAGTCCCTGTAGCCCAGCTTCCCTCTACCCCAAAGTGAGCAGACGCCCCACCATCGTGTTCTGTCGTGCGTTGCTTGCACTACCCCGCTGCCTCCTGATCCACGTGGCTATGCGGCCGGAAAGCTGCCGGGCGGGCGCTAGGTACTTCTGAGATCCCGCAAGTTCGGTATCAGTCGACTGAATCTATCTTCTTTTCATGCTAAGATATTGTTGTTACCTTGTCCCTTATCTTGAAAAACATTAACAAATGCTCCCTCCTATAGAGATACAATAAACCCGTTTCCCTAGCTGCGCAGTGTTCTCAGAAGTCTCTTCTTCCCCGAACCCTCCTTCGCACTCGGGAGTCCCAGACTTAAGGACAACACAGCCACTGCTTCTGACAAAATAATCGCCAGCTCTTTCCCTTCTCACTGCATCTGGGAAAATGTTTTTAATTTAATTCCTTCTAAGCAAAATCTTAGACAAATAGCACACCAGGACAAAACAAGGTGTGGAGACAATGCAGTCCTGTTTTACACAAGAAGAAAATAAAGCCCACAGAGGTGAAGCACGTGGCCCAGGACTGCTCAGCATTTGAAGAGAGTAACCCCCAAACCTTCCTGTCCACATGCGGTATCCTTTGCACTCCATGCTCTTTTTTTCTATCCCTGTCATTAGCAAGAACTGTAAGAACTTGAGACAATATCTTTTCAACCACTGTGTACCTATACACTACCACTATGCTACATTCTCCAACATCTCATGAATGGATACATGGATGGAAGAATGGGTGAATGAATGAATGAATGAATGAATGAATGAATGAAAATAGGCAAAAGAATGCATTTGTCAACCAAATAATCAGCAAAAGTACTGGAAGTCTTTTGTAAGGTCATTCCCAAAACACAAGGAGCTTACTACTTTCATATTACTGAAACCATGTGTGACAACATTCAGGTGTAAGAGCTATAACATTTAATTTCATAAATAAAACTGTCTGCAGCACAACCCCTCTCTATTAGGTCAGTTTTCCAGCACTCACACCCTCCTGTTCTTCAGAACAGAGTTCAGCATTTCAATAAAGTGAAGACTGAGCCCTGGCCTGCAGTTCACCAGCACTGCCCACAAGATGCTCGTGCCTAGGCATGTGTGCCCCGTTCCCGCCCCGTAAGTGCAGCCCTGCCAGGCAGCCTGGGATGTCCACACTAGAAGACCAGGCAAGGGGCCACGATCTCCCGGTGTCAAGGAGTGCCATAGCCATTTCTCTTGCTAATCGTGGGTCAACTAACCTTTTGTTCCAGGGAGAGCCTTGTGAGCCCTCCTCTGGATTAGAGATGCACATGCAGGGGATGGCGCGCAGAGGGCAGCCGGCGATAAGGTGGCACACTGGCGACAGTACCTTCTGTTCAGGCTGAGCCAGTTGTTTCCCTTGGAAATACAAGCTGAGCATCGTCAGACTTGTGCTAAGAAGCATGGAGTGTGGATTTTTAAACACTATCCTATTTTTTTTTTTATTTTGGTAAGTGATTCAATTTAAAATTTTGTCAATAAATTTGTCTTCAGATCAGACCTGAGAGATGTAAAAAACAGTATTGTAAGAAAAAGTAAGTCATTCAATTCTCATCCCTGGGGCAAAGGGGTCCCAAACCTTGGAAACAAAACTCTAGCCTGTCCTGGGGCTGGGAGATAGCTCGGCAGTCTAAGCACCTGCCTGGCAAGTGCAAGGACCTGAATTCCATCCCCGGTACCACATGTCATGCCAGCTCCACAACCCCGGGCAAGCTGTGCTGACCACCGAAACCAGGTACACTTGTGCACACCTGTAATCCCAGCACTGGGGAAGCGTCTAACATGGGAGAATCACTACAAGTCCAACTGTGTAGCAAGACCCTGTACCAAATAAATAAATAAATAAGGTTTTTATTTAAAAAGAAAAAAGTCTAGCCTAGGCCTGGGGAGATAGCCCAGTGGTCTAAGCTCCTGCCTGGCAATCCCAAGGACCCAGGTTTGATCCCTGGTACCACATGTTGTGCTGGCCCCAGGCACCAAGCTGGCCACCAAAACCATGTGTGGTGGTGCATGCCTGTAATCCCAGCACTGGGGAGGCTGAGACAGGAGAATCACTATGCATCTAAACTGTGTAGGGAGACTTTGTACCAAATCAATCAGTCAATCAATAAATACATTTAAAATTAAAAAAATCTACCCTATCCTATCCAAACTGTATGTGCCTTTTTTTTTTTTTTTTCATTTAGTGCATACAGAGGCTACAGGGTCTCACCACACAGATCAGATTTGTAGTGATTCTCTTGTTTTCAGCTTCCCAAGTGCTGGGATTACAGGCGCGCGCCCCCACGCTCAGTCTCAATTGCCATCTGAGCACGCCCCCGGGGGCGGGGCCTGCCATGGGATGGAACCTCTGACCCTGTGTCTGCCTAAGCAGGCACTTTAATCCGCTGAGCTATCTGGCCAGCCCTCAGTATGTACTTCCTTGACAAGAAAATGCAATCATTATCTTCCAATGACACGCTGCGTGTGCACACATATTCTACATACTGTGTAATAAATAACGCAAGGTCACAGGTGAGTATGTTATCTTTCCAAGCAACGCAAGCCTCCCTCTAGAGGCTCCCCTGTGGACCCCGGTTCAGCCGTGTAACCCAAGGTGACCCATTTAGCTGCTGCCACTTGTGCTGAGCCACATGGTGCTCAGCATGGCAGGGCACCACCCTGCCCCGTCACCACCACCACAGTCCATTGCCCGACACAGAACCAGGAAACAGGACGTGTGCAGCTGTTAAGGGAACAGAGGCGGCAACTAGGAAGCGAGGACACAGACAGGACAACTGGACATCATCTTCACGCCGGAGCTGGGCCAGGGCAGAGAGCCCTGGAGAGACGCCCGCGACGCAGTTCCCACGCAGGTCTCCACGCAGGTCCCCACGCAGGTCCCCATGCAGGGCCCCACGCAGGTCCCGGGGTCTTCAGCATTAAATCTGGATGGTCGACCACAACAGTTGCCTTGCGAGTTCTGGGAAAGCCTGTCTGTTTCCAAGCGTCGCACGCTTCCTGGCCTTTGGTCTGAAATTGCACCATTAGCGTTTTGTTTCTTTAGCTCCCAGTCTTAGATGTTTCAAAGAGTGACCTGTTGAAATTCTGAGGAGCATTTGCCTAAGGTCACCTGGGACACTCCTTGCATGCCGAGAAATGGGCTTTGTAGTGCTCAGCGTTCCGCAGCATTCGGACCACAACCAGGACTAGGATCCGGCTTGAAAGAACCCAAAGCCTCTAACGACCTAGAGGGTCTGCGGGTCTTCCAGGGACGAGATGCTCTCTGTGGATCCGCTCCAGGCGGAAGAACAAGGGCCCACATGCCTGCAGGGGGCGCTGCTGCTCCACTCCGCGCCCGTCCCCGCCGCGTGGGCCCACTGAGCCCCTGAGTCCCATTCCTGGGGCCTCCCCAGTCTCCACTCCAGGCCGGAGTTGGATGCCCTTTCTTTCTGAGCGTTAGCAAGATGTGCGCTGTGGGGCCAGTCCGCCTGGACAGCAAACCCGGCCGGGCCACCATGTGGCCGGCAAACCCGGCCGGGCCACCGTGTGGCGTGTAGCTCTCCCTGCCTCAGCTTCTGCCTCTACGTTGACAGGTGAGTGTCAAAATCTCTCTGCCCAGACCAGCACCCCAGCCGACCTCGTAGCCGCCTGCGCTGCCCGCCCTCCCAGGCCTCTGACCTGCGCCCCGCACCTCCCCGCGCGCCCATCTGCACCCTGGGTCTTCCAGGGACGAGATGCTCTCTGTGGATCCGGTCCCCAGGCGTGGGACCGCCACCGGACAGGGGCTCTTGGCCTCAGGACCACGCCTCATGAAACAGAAGCCACCTGTGGGGACCCTGAATACTCACATTCGTTGCTCAGTTTTCTATGACGAACTGTAATCAGTTACCGGCGACCCTTAGGCATCTATGCAAATCGCACGAGGGCACCGAGAGAGCCTTCACGAGCACCACGCACGTGGGTGACCACCGTGCTGTGTCAGGGTTAGTCTGTCAGAGTAAAGCAGATCACTGTGGTGTGTGGTGCTGACAGTGAGGGAAGACGTGCGCTGTGGGGCAGGAAGGGAGCTCTGTGCCTGTGGCGCCGCTTTTCTGTCAAGAGAAGGCTCCACTAAAACACAGCGAGCTTTGTTCCGTTGCCCCTGGACTGCGCGGCTGGCGGAAGTGTGGGTCCGCGCCGCTGCCCCCCCCCCATGGCCAGGGACCCTCGGCTGCCGCAGGAGGCTGAGTTCCTCCCCTCCCCTGCCCATCAACCTGGCGCGGTGCATCTGGCGAGAGGCGTGGCCCCGAGAACTGCAGGAGCACAGCGGAACCCACCTGCCCCTCGCAGGAGTCTGGCGGGCTGCCCTCCCCCGCGTCGGTGGGCCAGCAGCTGGGGACACGAGCCACCTGCAGGAACCCGGTTAGGGCACACACGACGGACAGGCGAGACCAGCAAGATGCAAAGCGCAAGCCACCACGAGTCAGGCGGGCCTACGTGGTGCTTAAGCACAGATGCGGACTAGCGCGCCGGGTGGGACCACGCCCTTTCTAAAAGTTTAACTTAATTTTATCTTGTTTTATGTTTGCTTGTATCTTGCTTTCCTTTCCTTTTCATTTTTGTTTTCCTTTTCCTCAATTTTTTCTTTTGCTTGCTTCTTTCTTCTCTTTTCTAAACAACTGGGGAATGTTCCAGCCACAGAAAGCTAAAGCCCAGCCCCTAAGCCCAGAACCAAAATTCAAGCAATCCCTTGAATACGCCTTCATTCTTTGCTTCTTACTCTCTTCTGGAGTTTCTCAACCCTTTTGTGCTCACCTTGTGCTCCGGCCTTGCTTCTACTTCGTTTCCAGTTATATTTGTTTTATCCCCTACCTTCCCCGTTACGGTTTGTATGGATGTGTCCCCCAAAGCCTCATGCAGTCATTGAGGCGCAGTTCTACATTTTGTGATTAATTCATGATCCAAGGCTGGGATTATGGGTCTGAGTACTGTTGGGATTATGGGTGAGTGCTTTGTTCCGTTGCCCCTGGACTGCGCGGCTGGCGGAAGTGTGGGTCTGCGCCGCTGTCCCCCCCCAATGGCCAGGGACCCTCAGCTGCCGCAGGAGGCTGTGAGTGCTGCACCCAGCCTGAGGCGGACAGCCTGAATGTAACGTAAGAGAGACGGAGACAGACTTGCTGTCTGTGGCCATTTCTGCTACCACTCCTCCCATTTGCTCTCTGCTCTTTGCTGCCGCCATGAAAGGCTGCTCTCTGCCATGTGCCGCTCCGCCTTGGAGCCAGC